TGGCTCCTCAAATCCAGATTGTTGGCGAATTAATAGACTATTAGGATGCCTGACTGTATCCTGTTCAGGTTTGCGCGGAAACACCAAAATGTAATTAAAATCGGAAATGCGTGGAGAAATAAGATGCCTTGGCTTAACTAAGCCAGAGGCTGTCGGCAAGATCTCATAACAACGCTCGCCTACGGAAAGCTGAAGAGGCACTTGCGATGTTGGCCCATTCTGGGTTATTTATGGAACTGTGCAATTTCTACCGACGATATGTCTGAGAGGCTTGAATTAATTCGAGGTTTGCTTGAAGAAAGGTTGCAGGGAGGTTTCCGTATTGTCTTCCATCGAAACAACTTTGGGAAATGCTTGGCAAGGATCCCTACTATCAGGATAGCAAATTTGCAACATAAAATGCTAGTGAAACTAGAGGAACAACCAATCACAGACCTACCTGTCCAGTTAGCCCTTCAGCAGCTATGGCATTAAAGGAGAGGACAACACCATGTCTCGCAACCCTCCATAAGGACTGGAGGTGGAATTTCTTCGACCCGTAGAGGAGGCTTTATACAGTCTTACATTCAGGGCAGGTCTGATGGTAGTCGCCTTACGACTATCGGATGCTCGCACAAATACAATGAGATCGCTCCTCCCAGATATCTGGAACAACTAAATTAATTAATTTATATTATTATTAATTAAATTATTTTCTTTCAGAGAGTCCAATATACTGTAATATTTTCTGATGAATAATATAACTATGTAATGTTGCGTATCTAAGATAAAAACATTTTGATTGATTAATATTTTGATTGAGTTCATCAAGTCCAGAACCAAAGCGTCTGGGATTGTTGCAAACGGGTTTGGATACGCCTTTTTCAACTTTGCGAAAAAATCGTTGGATATACAGTGTGTCCCAGACTCGCTTCTCTTATACAGGGATCTCGGCTCCTGTTATACCTACAGCAAAGGTCAAAATCAACAATACAGAGAGTGTTAAAAATGAATCCATACAAACCTACAATAGTTCAAAGACAGGAAAGGCGAATGCGCTTCTTTGAGTGGTACACTAGGAAGTCTAACTGAAAATCTCGATTTTGTACATCATGTCTTGTGGTCCGATGAGAGTAGGTTTGCGAATTGTGGAGTTTTTAATAAGCATAACCCTCATCATTGGGCTGTGTAAAACCCTCACGAAGTGGCAGAGAGACGTCCATAGACCAGATTTGGAACTAACGGTTGGTGTGGGGTCATTGGTAATAACTTACGTTTTTTTAATTGGACACCTATTTGAATTTAGGTATTAATCATTTCTGGAAATCGAATTATACGATCATTGTTGTTTGAATACAGCCTAAACGGACAGTGGTACCTAGAGCTTTTGCGAAACCAGGTTGTACCGACGAACATTTTAGATGTATAGGTATTTGACTTACATTATGTTGTTGAGTATCTAGAAAACAGGAAATTTGCATCAATTTTACATTCTTGACACCAAATTTGACTAAATGGGCAAATTAAATTGAAGCTTCCTTAAAAAGGAAAAAAATTATACTTTGTTTTTATCATTTCAACTTGATTAATAGTTCAAACAATACAGCGTCTCAAGGTAGAACAACTGCCATTGAGATTTGAACGCGCTTTAATTGAACAACGACGCAACGAGTGGGGAGTGATAATCAGACTATGGAGAAAAAATTGCCTAAAGTATCTGTTCTAAAATTGATGAAACAACAATTTTATTTAGTGTTGCATTTGAAATTGATTTGTTTTCTGTTTTCTTTAATTTTTCATACCTACAGCAGTATTTCACTTTTTCTTATCTGATTTTAATATTTTTATTTATTTCAAGTTAGGCTATTACCATTTTAATCCTTGTCTGATACTCTGTTGTCTGTCGTCGCCAAATTGGTTTTTGACTGACGTCACTTAGCTTATTGTGTTTCTCCCACCAGGGCATTTGATTTGATACCCGTCTCATGATAGAAATGATAAATCGCCATTCAGTAGCTCCCACCATATTGGATCCAAAATGGTGGCATTTGATTCGTTGTGTACCACAACGCGAACCAAACGTGTATACGAAATTTCAGCTCAATTGGTTCAGGTCGGCTGATTCAGAATTCAGTTTTAAGACTTTAACCACACATAGATATATACTAACAGGTCAGGTTTTATTGCAAGAAGATATATTCAACGATTTTGTCGAAAAATTACTCCTTTGTTAAAGCTATGTGCGGTTGACTAATTACGCTGTTGAAATTCCGTTAAATTATATCGTTGTTGTTGTTTGTAGGTTAAGGAAACCCGATACTTTATATGGGAACCGAACACATCATTTTTAGAATTCTTCATGGACCTGTTTCTTAGACTGATCACATATTCTGAGATAATATTCGTTTTAAAACCTCTGTGAGTTTAACGTCAAACATTCACAACAAACATATATTTTTGAGGGTAAATGAAAAGGCCCTTCATTTGGAGATACAAACATATTTGCTGGAAAACCTTTTTATTAACCGCCAAAGCTGAAACATACAATTTTTCCCATATATCAAAGACTATTAAGTCTTCGTGAAACTGCTTCAGAGAAAAGTGTAGAGGATGGAAATATCTTCACAATGAAACCATATGTGCTCAATTTGCCGTAGCGATTAATTTTGTATTCCAAAACATCGCTAATTGTGAAATTTATTTTTTATCATCAAGTGCATAACACAAAATATTAGTTAAGAATTTAATCCTGTGCGGTAATTACCATCCAGAAAGAAATTAATAAAAAATGCTTATGTTCTTGTGAAGTTGATGGTCATTTCTTACGTGCTGTCTAAGTACGTAGTCGTATAAAATTCTAAAGGGGTTCCTGGTTTCTTGGGTTAAAAGGAAACTGGTCCACGATAAGTTGCCCTGCCTCAGTGGCAAATGGACTACAGATTAATAATTATCTGACGCCTGCTCTCACTTCGTCTTGACAGGCTCCCCCAGAGGTCTGAAGGTTAAATGTACTCGTCGTCCTTCTTAGCTGCATCTAGCGGTCTTGACTCTCACTATTAGGCGCATTATGACTAAAATCCCGTTAACGTATGGAAAACTCTTCTCAGGGGCTTCCGTGCTTCCTTGTCATATGTATTGACAAGTTGAGATTTCAATATTTCAAACGGCTTCGAATTTCAAAGATTTCTATCTTATAGTATATCTCTTCGACGCGACAAGTAATTTGGGCTAAAATATTATTCTACCACCACATATAATTTATTAATTATAAAAAAATTATTTCCAGAATAACTCACACAAATAAATATTGCTTCGTCAAAGGATGCAGTACTCAAAATTTTATGGTATCAAGACCGAGAATATCATATAATATAATGCATTAATTGTAGCAACAGGAAAAATCAGAAACTGAACAATTTGACAATAAAATTGTACACGATAAGGAAGAATTATTGAGAAGGAAAGTGAAGACTCATCCTTTCTTCGCGCAAGTTAATCTTGTATTTGTATTGGTGTACAAATATTTTCAATCACGTGCGGTACGGGTATTACGGATCTTGAAAAGTGACATTATGTCGATTTTTTTGACTACATTGTTATGTGATTCTATTCATCTTTTGTGGCATTATGTAGGTTTTTCAACAAGATTTTAACTTAGCACTAGCTGATGGACACGTTGTGTACTTGTTTTGTAGTTGTACGTGTTGCCTACACGTCATGAGGCTTCAGTTATCAATGTCTGGCTCTGATGTGATGTAAAATCTGCTTCAGAGATGGTATTACTGGAGGTCTAAGCTGTAAGTTGTATGCTATAACTAGAAGAAAACGGCAATGCATAGGTGCACAGTGAGGATTTGATTGGCTAATAATGTGTTGATGATTATTCCATTGGATTCTTGTCTCAAACACACTTACTTGAGATTCAAAGCGCTAGAAATTAGTTGTGCATTCATTTTTTCTTAACAATTCTGGAAATAACATATGCAAATTTGCTGAATTTCAAATAAAAGAGAGGTAAGAAATAATTATATTCTCTGTACACTGTCGAATTATAAGTCATAACATGTCATCAGAAAGGACAACATATGAATAACCCTCTCTGGCACAGCTAATATATATAGGTACTTCATTGGCAGCATGTTCAGTAATGATTTTCTCACACAGCAGACCAATACACATAATCATCCAGATGCGATCTTGCTATTCAACCAACTTCCTTCTTAGAGTTGAAAACTACAGACTACTTGGCTTCACAAAACAAATGCAACCAATAATGCGTGTAGATGAGTGATTCCTCCATAGATGGACGCTCACAACGACCCTCGCGAGTAAACGTGGAATGACTGTTGGCACCTTAAAATTTATCTAGTCTGCAAGATGACATTTTATAGGTTTTTTTTGACGTTTTAGAGGTTTTTTCACATAATACCCGTGCGGTACAGCTGAATGTATTTAACAAATAGTCAGTGTTGCCAGGCAATAAAAGTGGATAGAGGTAATAATAAAAAAATAAATGAAACTCCAGTGCTTTTTCTGTTCAACAAGTAATCAAAACCATATGTCTACTGAATGGACTTCGCTTTTCGGTTGATACCTCCTTCTATAGATAGATCAGCTAAAAAATCCCGCCCTTCTCACTAACTAACCTGCCATGTACTGTTTGTTTTGATACTTCATTCCGCACACATATTTTGTGTCATTTGTTTACAGTTTTCAGTAACGCATTAGTTCAGCACTTACTGTCAAGCACAACAGATGGCTTCTGCCATGAAGATCCTGATGTAAACAGGGTTTCTTCTAAGGGAAAGGGGTGCCTCCCGGTAAAATCGGCTGTAAAACAGTTACAAAGCTGAAGGAGTGTGAATGGTGATTATATTACCCGTCTCTTCCTCTAGATCACTATGTAGTTCACTCTCGCCGCTAGGTGGCGCCACGCATTCCAAAGCTAAATAAAATAACATCTGACCGGTCCTACCCTCGCGTACCACCGAACTCTGTTGATGATTCATTACTCTTTTGCGTGCGAGTGGAGCCACGTCGCCCGTAACGTGACCGGTTCGGAAAATGAGTAGAAATGTGCGAAAACGGGCTCAGGCCCTGTCTGATGCAGATTCGGATTCGTCTGATGAGCTGTCCGGAATCATGACCCAGTTGAACAAGCTGTCTCGTAAGGTATCCCGACTTCAGAAGAAGCGCAAAAGACGAGAGCCGTCACCCGAAAGCTCGGATAGTAGTGTTGGTGAAAGAAGCCTCTCCCAAATCATTCGGCCTGCTACCGTAGGCCTGGTAAACTACGATACCTCTTCATCGGGACGTAAGTATCCTATGGATGCATAATATAATTGTGTATAAAACAATATGGCTACCAACGAGTTTTGGTTACACACGTCTGTCTAAGCAAGGGTACCCTTGTTATACCCAAATTGGGTATTACCGACGAGTTTCGGTATAATCCTGTGGTCAACGAGTTTTGACAAACACACGATTATTTTATTACATTGCCAACGAGTTTTGGAAATGTAGGGCATCACAATTCTCCTATCTTGTCAACGAGTTTTGACAAATTCAAGTTTGTTCTTTTACAATGCCAACGAGTTTTGGCCACATGTAAGGTAGTTTATGATGTCGTCAACGAGTTTTGATAAGCGCAAGACCAACGAGTTTTGGCAAATAAATACAAGGCGTCGCCTTTATTTTCATATATTGTCAACGAGTCTTGGCGATTTCTAAAGGCAGGTACAGTTGTATCATAATTTCTTCCATTTTTGCAGCAGAGAATAACCTTGCCGAGCGCAATGTTGCCATATCAGACGGAACCTTGGAGAGGAACAATGTTGCCGAGTGCGATGTTGCCGAACGCAGTGTTGCCGAACGCAGTGTTGCTGAATGCAGTGTTGCCATCTCGGATGAAATTTTGAGACTTTTGGGGAAAAACTCTGTGGACGATCAAGCCTCTACAAAAGACATTAACAGCGAACTTGTTCAAATTTGGTCCCATATATTACAGGAAGGTTTGGATTCTGAGGTTTTAGCAACTATATGTAAAAAATATTCTCCTCCCACTAACTTAAGCCTTGCTAATGCCCCCAAACTGAACTCAGAGGTTTTATCGGTTCTCACGGAACAACACAAGCAGCGGGACTTGAAGCTCTCTAAGCGCCAAGACCAGATGGGGGCTGCCCTGGTGGCAATTGGCAAAGCGCTGACAATTCTGTTGGAAAAAGGGAAGGGGGCACATACCAGAGTGCTGGTCGAATGCCTCAGTGATGCCGGACGTTTAATTTCGGACATTCACCATGAAGAATCTACGTGTAGGCGGAATTTGGTATCGGTGAGTGTAGACAAACAGCTCCGAGGAACCCTTTCTAACGTATCTGTGGATGGTTGGCTGTTTGGACAAAATCTGGGTGATCGGGTGAAAGCAGCTCGTGAAATGGAAAAATTGTCATCCAACCCGAAGCCGAAAGCAGTTACTGCTACACTGACGTCTTCGGTAAACTTCAAGGGTCTGCCTCGAGTGAATGTCAAGGGTTATCGAGACAGACCGAAATACTCACGGAAAACCCCGAGTTCCGAAGCCAAGACTCCTCGGTAAGCCCCCCGATCAACGAAAGAAATTCGTCCAGCATACAGAACCAATCAAACCCAAGCCTATCAAAAGCGGACCCTTTAAAGGTAATTTATATAAGTGGAAGACTAAAATTCTTTTTACCAGCTTGGAATTCGTTAACGTCGGATAATCTTCTGTTATCATGGGTTAAAGGTTATCTAATACCTTTTTCTCAGACACCTGTTCAGAAATCTGTTCCTAAGGAATTGAAATGGTCTTCAACAGAACAGAGATTTTTAAATTTAGAAATCGAGCGTTTGTTATCCCTGGGCGCTATAAGAAAATGTTCTTTCGAGCACGGCCAATTTCTTTCAAATATTTTTCTCACACCCAAACAGGATGGCTCGTTTAGATTGATTTTAAATCTAAAAGACCTGAACAAGTTTATTACGACAGAACATTTCAAAATGGAGGACCATAAAACGGTAACAAGATTATTGGACAAAAATGTTTCTTGCATCCATAGATCTCAAAGATGCGTATCACTTGATTTCTATTCATAAACATCATCGGAAATATGTCAGGTTTGTGTTTTCCGGACAAATGTATGAATATACTTGTTTACCTTTCGGTCTAAATACAGCGCCGTATGTGTTTACGAAACTGTTGAAACCAGTTCTATCCCATTTACGACAACAAGGTATTTTGTCAGTATTATATATTGATGATTTTCTATTAATGGGTCGTAGTTATACTGAGTGTGTGACAAATGTTAACATAACTAAGAAAGTGTTGTTAGATTTAGGGTTTTTGATTAATTTAGAGAAAAGTGTACTTGTGCCATGCACAGAAATTAGGTATTTGGGGTTTCTATATAATACAATAGATATGTCCTTAAGCCTACCTATAGACAAACAAAACAGTATTTCAGAACATATGCGCAGGTTCGTGAATAAAACAACCTTCCCTATCCGGGAGTTTGCGAAATTGATTGGTAAATTGATTGCAGCATGTCCGGCAATCAAGTATGGGTGGCTGTACACCAAGAATTGTGAACGCGAAAAATTTTTGGCCTTGAGAAGGTCCAGAGGGTCTTACAATCACAAGATGAGAATGTCTACAGAGATTCTAATGGATCTTAGCTGGTGGAAAAGTCATCTTTCGGGAAAAAATACTTTTCACAGTTTCAACTTCAAATTGGAAATATTCAGTGACAGTTCTCGATCGGGATGGGGATACACTGTAATGGTTGTAAGTCGCACGGTTTTTGGTCCAACGAAGATAAGAAGCAACATATAAACTATTTAGAGTTATTTGCTGCATTCTTTGGACTTAAATGCTTTGCAGCAGATCTTGTAAATTGCGAAATACTTTTACGAATAGATAACACTACAGCCATTTCATATGTGAACAGAATGGGTGGTATTCAGTTCCCACATCTTAACAGCCTTGCTAAGCAAATTTGGCAGTGGTGTGAAGAGCGCAATTTATTTATTTTTGCGTCTTATATAAAATCGCAAGATAACATTATAGCCGATCAGGAATCGCGTCAATTAAATACTGAAACAGAGTTTTCAATAGCGGATTATGCGTTTAAACAAATTTGTCGTGACTTAGGAACACCCGAGATCGATTTATTTGCTTCCAGAGTAAATTCAAAATGTAAGCGATTTGCTTCTTGGTTCAAAGACCCTGAAGCCGAAATTGTCGACGCGTTTACAACTTGCTGGACTAATTACAAATTTTATGCATTCCCGCCTTTTTCCCTAGTGGCTAAAGTGCTACAGAAAATAATTACAGACAAAACGGAGGGTATTGTCGTAGTACCGTGTTGGCCCAGTCAACCATGGTACCCTCTATTCAAATCACTGCTTGTAAAGAAATCAATAGTTTTCTCTCCTAACATAAATTTATTGTTATCCATTGACAGAACACCCCATGCGCTACACCGGAAACTTTCCCTGGAAGCAGGGCTATTATCAGGCAGGCAATGATAAATAATGGAATCCCTGAGGAGGCAGTGGAAATATCAGTTTCATCTTTAGCACAGTCGTCACTGAAGCAATACACCAACGGATTGAAACTATGGTGGGAATTCTGTCACCAACGTAACATAAACTATTTTGAACTAAATAGCCAGGCTATACTATGTTTCTTGTCGCGCTTGTATGGCCAAGGCCGATCATATAGTTCGTTGAATACAACAAGATCGGCTTTATCCTTGCTTATTTCACCTCGAGTTGGCGAAGACCACCAGATCAAAAGATTTTTCAAAGGCGTTTTCAAATTACGACCACCTTTGCCTAAATATCATGTAACGTGGGATCCGGCTGTGGTTTTAGGTTATCTGGAAACATGTTACCCTAATAATACAATTAGTCTAGAGGCGTTGACACATAAATTATCGATGTTGATGGCCCTGGTTACGGCACACAGAGTACAAACGTTTTCAGTTATAGAGGTACCAAATATCGAAATATCGGAATCAAAAATAGAAATAAAAGTCCCGGCAAGGGTTAAAACCTCTGCCCCAAATAGATACCAACCTTTACTGATACTGCCATTTTTTCACAATAACCCAAAACTATGTGTAGCAAGTACGCTCAAATGTTATTTGAACAGAACCAGAGATTTCAGGCAGTCTGGTAAGCTCTCGAAACTTTTTCTGACTCATAAGAAACCTTATAAGGAAGCAACGGCACAGTCCATTAGTCGTTGGATTCGCATAGTGCTGAACAAAAGTGGAATTGACACATCGATCTTTACAGCACATAGTACTAGACACGCGTCCACGTCAGCAGCTGTCAACAGGGGTATCAACATCGATACAATACGCAATACAGCAGGTTGGACTTCGTCATCAAATGTGTTTGCAAGATTTTATAACAGACCTGTAAAAAATACTGACAATTTTGCAGACGCAATTCTCAGACTATAGTGAATAGTTTACAGTTGTAACAGTTAGAATAAGTTCCCGCACATGGATGGTTGTCTCTCATAAGAATGTTGGAGATTAAAGAGAGTAGTTACTACTTCCCCCTTTCTTTTATTCTCCTGTAACTGTTGCAGAATCAACTTTAAACATCTACATAGTGATCTAGAGGAAGAGACGGGTAATATAATTATAAGATTAAACGAACTTACCTAAGTGAAGTTTGATCGTAATTATATGACCGTCTCTTCCGAATAGATCACTCCCTCCCTCCCAGAACCCGTGATCTATTCTAACGCAACAGTTACTGCTTTGAAATAATGAATCATCAACAGAGTTCGGTGGTACGCGAGGGTAGGACCGGTCAGATGTTATTTTATTTAGCTTTGGAATGCGTGGCGCCACCTAGCGGCGAGAGTGAACTACATAGTGATCTATTCGGAAGAGACGGTCATATAATTACGATCAAACTTCACTTAGGTAAGTTCGTTTAATCTTATAATTCTCCTCTATGCCTTCTCGCTAAAAGGAAGCAGATCTTGAACAAACTTCTTCGGGACATGCATTAATGCACGTGGTCTAATGGTATAAAAAAAGAACTTACCGCTGAAGGTTTAAGTTCCATAAAAAATGGAGCAGTAGCACCCAAAGCGAAACAATTAAACGAAAGGTAGGGACAAGAAAGGATGCTACTCCATATACTGGCGATTGGGGCTCAATATCCCAGAATCTGGAAATCAAACTAACGACCCACAGACCACCACCTCAAGAGGAAAATCACTGACGTAGAACACCTAACTTTATAAGAAAAAAAAGAAGGTTAAATGAGTCGCCTTGAAGATATGTTTGATAGGAAACCAAATATTCTTATATAGGTTAGTACGGAGAAAAAACACAGGGTGGCGCTGGTTGCCAATGCGCGGACCCTAGAAAACGAACTCTACAAAGGGCTAACGATATTTTATGAGGAAATTTCTGAGATAGTCATTAAAAAAAAATATTATAAAATTAGTGTCCAAAAGATTCCAACACAATACCGAGTCACCAAGAAAAAGAAATAATACTGGCGAAAGCTTACAATCAATAAATTATGAAATTTGCCAAAAGAAAATCATTGAAAAGGGTTTGGCCTAGTAACCGGTACTCTACCATTAATTAAGAGAAATTCAAATTACTTAGAGAGTTTCTCGACTATAGTTGATCCATAATCTTTGGACTTCCCTTGTCCTGCCACTCTCTCGGCACCTATGTTTTTTTGCCTGTCCAACACAGGGCGACTAAGGCCTTACCAACATCAACATCATATCCTTATCTTCTGAGCCACAATGTCACTCATAATATCTCTATATCTATATAATACACCTATATAGGTATAATATAACCGCACTAGAGCCGTTGCAGGAAATTGTACATATGAGGTCTCATTTCAGAGGAACTTTCATCTTCTATTATTGTTAAGGGCACTATACTTAGACCAATAATTTTTGAACACGAATGAAGAAGTTTGAAGTTTCATACAAAAGTCAACCTGCAAATTTTTTTGTGTCTGTCTACGGAAAACCATTCCATTTAGCCTTAAAGATGCAATTCAATTGTAAGAGCTGTGTATACAATTTTTTCTAGAACAGGACCCGCTTTTGGCTAGCTTGCCTGATCTATCGTGAATCATGATACCGATACGTTAAAATCATCCATCATTTGCGGCCGTTGAGCTGTGTATTTTATCGTCCAATTTCCTCGCAATCGTTGAAAAACTACTCATTCCCGGTGCGCATTTTCTGTTCGTGAAATTCATAATCCTCGGCGTCTTGTAGTTACTTCCTGACATCGTGCAATTACGACACGGGAATGACTTTGCCGCTTCCGCAGCTAAGAATATTATGCTTGGGAATTTTTTATTTCCTGCGGGAGATGACAGATCCAGTTACCTGTGTTCATTCGGTTACGCCTGCCCTATTTTTATAAAATCCATTTATCATGCTCATATAGTGGTATACGGAGCTAGTTTTCAACCATCACGTGTTTGTTAGCAATTAAAAAGAGCAGATTGAGTTAATACTTCTCAAGAGCAATAATTTGAAGACATTTATGGACATTAACGATACAGAAATATCTTTATTTTTCTGAAAGTATACAAAGTAGATTATGTTTCCATTTGATTTGTATGCCTATGACTCGTTAAACATAGGTTAGATATATATAGCTTTGAGAAAGCTACACTTATTTTGATAAAAATTATTGGCGCACAATTTTCCTCTAAGCATAAAGGCGGACAATTTAAAAACCGCCTGTCATGGAAACAGAGTTTCCGGGCATATGAATCTATAAGCCTTTTCCGATATTATTTCTTTACTTTTTTATCATAACTTTGTGTAACCACTTTATGTTGCGACCTGCATAGAAAAAATAATGTATGAGGAAGGCTAGAACACGTGACAGATGCATATTGATAATTTACAGCAACGCAACGGGTCCATGACACACAGCAATCGAGGATAAAGAAGAAGCTATATTCTATTCACAATTGTAGATCTACGAGTATAAAGATACTGAAACATTCTGTTACCATTTTTCTTGAGAAATCTACTTCTGTAGAAACTTTCTTTAAGCAAAAATATTGAAACACAAATAATTTAATGAAATTAAAGTAAAGCTGCTTTCGATGGTTTTTTTGCTTTGAATAACTTCCATTAAAATGTGTTTTTTGCCTTGAGATATATTTGTAAACTTTCACAAGATAAAAAACTTGGCTGGTAAAGTTCGTATCAACTAGTTACAACACCGTCAAGCAACAGCATGGAAGGTGAAAAATACCCAAGATTATCCACAGACACTGAAAAATAATTTCGCTTAATCTTCGTTGTGCCTTCCTAAGCAAAAATGCCGTTAAGTAATCGCTTAAGTGACAAATTGTAGCATTGTTAAGAAATGTATAGCTGTGCAGCGAGCTCCAGCTGCATTTGGGGTACAGATAGTCCAGGGACATTAATGTAGCGGGTCTCTAATAACTTTGAGCAGGGAGTGACTTTGGATTTGCCTTAAGCTTAGCCTTCAAGGAGATTTCAAGGTTAACTGTTGTTTCTTAAACGTAAAATCCCATTTTTGACACAGATAGTCGAAGGACTGTATCATTCCTAATATGTATTGAACTGTAGGATCAAGGTCTCCTCTAATGGTCAAATGCATAACTGAACCCAATAATAGACCAAATTGTCATGAGAGACTTAAGCTAAGGTGTTCTTACCAGAACGTTCGTGGTCTCAATTCTAAGACGGTGTCATTCTTCAATGCAGTCAGTGATTACGAATTTGATTTAATTTGCTTGACTGAGACGTGGCTGTCTGTGAATGTGAGTGATAGTGAATTATTTCCGGCTGAATACTGTGTGTTCAGGTGTGATCGTGACTTTATTCGATCTGGCCTAGTTTCCGGCGGAGGAGTCCTGATAGCCGTAAAACGCGATTTCCATGCAATTAGAATTGACGCTAGTGCTTTGAGTCGAAACTTTCCGTCGATTGATACTGTATGTATTAGGCTTATTATTAACCATGAGCATTTTGTTATCTTTTCTATTTATATTCCGCCTTCAATTAATTTGGACATGTTTAGTCAGTACCTTGAAGCTTTAGAAGTATTTAACAATGCCTTCAGTAATTGTAAAATAATTGTTGCTGGTGACTTTAATGTCGCATCATTCAACAGTGACGTTAATGATCAGAAGTCTCAATTAATGAGCAACTTTATTTCGTTTTTAGATTTAACTAACTTTAATAATATTCCAAATATAAATGGTCGAATTCTGGATTTAATTTTAGGAAATATCGAAATAGAAGTCCTCAGAGATAATACACCTTCTGTTAAAGAGGACGTTCATCATCCTGCACTGATCATGGAATTCATTACATCCGGATCTCCAACGAAATTCCCATTTGCTAATTCTCCACGGTTTAACTTTCGCAAAGCTAACTTTCCTGAAATGTACACAGCCTTGCAAGATGTTAATTGGATGGAGGTGATCAGTGCAGTTAATGTTGATGTCGCTTGTACCGCCTTGTATTCAGTTATCAATAACATCTTTGAGGTCCATGTCCCTAAATGTAAAAATAAAATGTTTTCGTATCCCCCATGGTTCACACGTGAAATTATACTTAATATCAAGAAGAAGGACATAGCAAGAAGGAACTGGAAACGTGACGGTACTAAGTTTTCTTATGATCAGTTCAGTAATTTTAGGAAGCTCATTAAGAACCAGATCAGTGTTGCCTACTCCGCTTACGTCCAATCGGCTGAGGATGCCATTGTCAATGATCCTAGCAAATTCTGGTCATTTGCCCAGATCAAAAAACAGCAATCTAGAATCCCCCCCAGGATGACGCTTAACGGCAATGTCTGCGATACGCCTCAGGATATAGTGGACAGTTTTGCTACCTTCTTTTCAACAGTTTTTATCCCGTCTGGTGTACTAGGGTCATCTCCTCCAACAAATAATTCTACCGATATCATTTCTTTAAAAAATATAAGTGAAGAAAACGTAATTAGGGCTTCGAAAAGATTAAAGAACAAAATGACGTCTGGATGTGATGGTATTCCAAGTTTTTTCGTTAAAGATTGCATTCATATACTAGCGAAACCGCTGGCTTCCATATTCAACTTAATTCTAAAATCAGAGACATATCCAAATATCTGGAAGACCTCTAAAATATGTCCTATTCACAAAAGTGGAGATATCTCTGATATTTCCAACTATCGCCAAATAGCAATCCTGTGCAATTTCAGCAAGTTGTTTGAGATCATCGCTTATGAAACGGTTTACTGCTCGGTCAGGGGTGCAGTCTCTATTAATCAGCATGGGTTTATGAGAGGCAGATCTACGGTCACCAACTTGGCTCTAATTACTCAATACATTTCTGAAGTACTGGACGGTCAGGGACAAGTTGATGTCATCTACACAGATATTCAGAAGGCTTTTGATCAAGTTGATCATTATGCACTTCTGGATAAGCTTAAAACAGTGGGTATGTCTGATGCAATGCTGTCGCTCATGAATTCATATTTGAGGGATAGAAGTTTATTTGTCGAATATGGTGGTCATAGGTCGAGTTACTATCGGGCCACGTCTGGGGTACCTCAAGGTTCAAATCTAGGTCCATTATTGTTTTTAATATTTATTAATGACTTGTCTTTTGAACTGAAGTGTTTCCATTTGTTTTTCGCTGATGACCTCAAAATCTGCACGTCAGTCAAGACAGTCGAGGATTGCGTCATGTTGCAAGATGACTTAGCTCTAATTTCGTCATGGTGTTTACGAAACTGTCTCAGTCTGAATGTTTCGAAATGTAAAGTTATGACTTATACAAGAAAAGTGAACTATTTAATTTATGATAATTATAACATCAAATGGTCAGAAACATTTAGAACGTCAAAAAAGTGGTGATAATTTTTTTTAATTTT